CGTGTCAAGCCCAAGGCAGGCTGAACTTGAACCTCCCAGCACCCCTAACTGGGTGGCTTCTTGCACAGCAACCCGGCAGCCCTGCTCTGAGGTCAGCATCATGGTCCTTGTTGTACAGGTAGGAAACTGAGGGACCCTGGGCAGGAGGGCCCAGGTATGCTCGGGGTTTGGTTGGAACCCGGGCAGGCTGTTCCCAAGGCCATGGCCTCTCCAGGAGTGACCTGAGTTTCCTGTAAGCCCAGAGCAGTGCACACGTGGTTGGGCAGAGCCGGCAGACAGCGGGAGCTTTGGTGGCCTTAGCTCATTCATGCCTCTCTAAAATGCGTCTGGCCGAGGTGCGCATGGCCATGGGTGCACACTTCAAGGGCAGGGTGCTCTCTTCAAGGGCAGGGTGCTGTGCTGCCCTCTGTGTATTCCTGGGACTAGGAATGCAGCAGGATCTCGGTCAGTGCTGGTTGCATCAAAAAAAAAAAAAAAAAAAAAAGGCATGAATGAATGCATGAATGAATGCATGATCACCGCCCTCCCACCAGAGACTTCAGTCTGACTGGGTAAATGAGACATGTATTTGGGGCTATCACATGAGACAGTTACAAAGAGAGTTCATGTTTTGCCAACATGTGTTCGTTCACCAAACAGTGATTGAGCTTTCACTAGGGCCAGGCATGGTGCCAGGACCTGGATGAACCATGGTGAACAAGATATGGTTCTGGCCTGGCAGTGTCTGGAATTCTGGAGGAGGGAGTGCCTGAGTGGGTCTTTGGGAAGGTGCTGGGGCATTGGATGAGGAGCAGGGAGGGAGAAAGGGCAGAGTAGGGGAGGGTCAGACCCTGCTATTCCCAGGCCCTCCCAGACATTCCCCTGATCTAGAAGAAGAAATTATCTGTGGAAATGAGGGGTTGGGCTGTGGGGGGCATGAATCCCCCCAGGCCTGGGCACAGTGGAGCCCAGATGGCACTCTGCAGGTCAGCCAGGATGACTGAGGTACTGACGTGGAGGAGGGAGGCCGCTGGTCAGCCACTCTCCCCCCCAGCTCTCTGGCACTGTGCTGAGCACCCTCCCTGGGACAAGGACAGTCACTTGTCACAGCTCTAACTGAAGACACTTCTGCAGTCTGGGATGGGATGCTCTTGCAATCCTAAGAGGGCTGCAAGTCTCCCTCCCTCTCTTCCTCTCTAAAACCAGCCCTCTCCTGGGATTTTTCACAGCCCCCCTGGGGAGGAGGAGAGCTGGGGCTCCAGCTTCTCCCTGGCTAAGGGATTTTTCCCCAGGCTCGCTCCTGTCTGCCAGCCAGGCCACCTGTTAAACTTTGTAGACCAGTGCTGGAGGGAGACCAGTGGGCTGTGGGCCATGGAGTGGGAGTTCCCCAAGCCTGGTGGAGTTCTGGGGTGGAAGGGACTTCAGTGGGAAGGGGCTCCTGAAGGCTGTGTGACCAGGGGCAAATGGAATCCCCTCCCCCTCCCGTCCTGTGTCATATGCTCAAACCAGGAGCAGTGGGGTGTGCAAATGAACATGCCACATGGGGGCACACGCCACGTGCGTGGTGCAGATGTGTGATAAGCTGGCCTAAGGTGGGGGTCTTAGTGATGCTCAGGGAAGATGGGGGTGGGGGTGGGGAGGAGTGTGACCCCTTGGCATCACTGTATTTGCTGTACTTCTCAGGGAGTGTGTCGGGATGCTATGTTCCTTGGCCCTCGACCTTTGGGGTCAGGAGGGGTCCCTGCCAAGTCCTCTGAGTCGAGGAGCAGACATCCGCCCCGGGGGAGGGGGGAAAAGGGGGCTTCCAGGAGAGGACGCCGGTGGGGCGTGGTGAGAGGGGGAGCAGAAGGCGGGGCTGGTGCGGAGGGGTGGCGGGGAGCTGGGCAAGCCCCAGCCTTCCGGCGGTGGAGGTGTGGGGTCGGTGGTGGGCTCCCAGGTGCTCTCTTTTTAAAAGGCCGGCGGAAGCCGCGCGCTCGGCCGCACCTGCAGAGCAAACTTGGCGGGCAGGGCTTGCGCCTTCCCGAGTGTGGCGGCAGCAGAGTGGGCGCCGGGCTGAGCGGCTGCGGTCCCCTCGCCCCCTCGTGCTCCCGGCGCCCGCCCCCTCCCGCAGCTTCCCCTCTCGGCGTCTTCCTCGCTTGCTCGCTCGCTCGCTCTCCAGCGCGCTCTCCAGCTCGCTCTCCTTTTTTCCTGCTGCCGTGCGGCTGCCGCGGCGCCCCCGGGCGCCCGCATCTCAGCCGGCTGAGCTCGCTGCTCGGCTCACGTTCCACTCCCTTCCTAGCCCGGAGCCCTCGGCCAGACCCCGCACCCCGGAGCCGCCTCCTCTCTCCCTCCGGCTCGGACGTCGGGCTCCGCGGCGGACGGAGCAGGGCTGCCCGCCGCTCCCTAGCTCGCTGGCTCGCTCTCGCCGGAGCAGCAGCAGACCGCTGCGCGATTGGAGGCGTCTCGGGCCGGGCGGCCGCCTGCTCCTCCCCGCTGCGTCCCGGACTCCGGGCGGCCCCGCGCCGGGCTCGGACCGCAGCGTTCGAGCCGCCCGCCGCGGCCCGGGCTCCGGCCACCGCGAAAAGCCAGCCTCCGGCCGCCGCCTCCCTGCGCCCCCGGCGCGGGCGGGTGCGCCACCGAGTCCTCGCCGGCGCGCGGTGAGTTGTGGCCCGCGGAGAACGGGCAGAGGGGACCGTGCCCTCCGGCCTCTGGGGCGCGAGCTGCGGCGGGGACTCCAGGGCTCGGGGAGGTGGCCTCTGACGAGCTCCCGGGCTCGGGGCTGCCCAGAGGGCCGGCGGACCGGAGCTTTCGGGGCTGGAGGGCGCGGGACCCGGGCTAGAGGGTCTCCCCTCGGGGCTGGGGCCGGCTGTCCCACCGCCCCGAGACAGGCAGTAGGGCATTGGCTCTTTCGCGGGCCTGGGGGAAAGTGTCTCTGTGCCTGGGATTGTTTCGGGTTTCCCCGACTGGGGGGTCGAGCCCGTGCTCAGGTGGGGGCGGCGGCATCAGAGCGCCCCCTCTGCGGAGAGACAGGGCGGGCGGGGGCGCGGGCCGTTCTTTGCCCCGGTTCCCCACGGTCTCCCGGCGGGAGAGCAGCGTCAGCCTCGCGCGCCTCTCCTCCTTGACCCACACCAGCCCCGCGTCCCGCTCCCGTGGCCGCCCCAGCGTCGCCTTCGTCTCCGACCGACCCCGGCGCCGGAGGCTTGCTCTCGGCGGAGGCGGGATGGGACGGCACCCCAGGGTCTGGGGTCTCCCCGCGGCCCCGGGACTTCACGGTCAGGTGCTTCTCGGATATTCGGGACCGACCCTCTCCGGGACCCTGATGAACCTTTGCTTCTACGCGGCCGCGGGGCGGGCAGCCGGGCCGTGTCCGTGTGTTCGTGTGTGTGTGTGTGTGTGTGTGTGTGTGTGTGTGTGTTTTCGGGGGGTCCCTCCGGGGTCGGCTTTCCCCGGCGCTCAGGAGCTGAAAGCGCCCCCTCCCCGCGCGGGGGCGGGGCTGGGAGGGGGAGGCCCCGACTGCGAGAGGCGCCCCCGCACCGGGGCGGTCTGAGGCTGTTTGTGCTGAAATGGGGCGGCAGTGGCGGCGACAGGGAGTCCTGAGGCCCGAACCCAAGAGCGACCCCTCGCACAGGCCGCGAGTGACACCCCCGCCTTCAGACTTTCGGTCCTTTTTGGAGGAGGCTCCTTGTCTCTTTCCCTACTCCGGTCACCCTCCCTGCCCCTGGTGCGGGAGAAGCTGCTTTGCGGGACTGAGCTGGTCTTGCTTAATGGGGTGCCCCAAGCCTCGTGTCTGTTGGAGCCGTGGTTAGTCTGTCTGCCCCTCTGTCAGTCTGGCACAAAGCCAAATGACGGTGGAGGGAGGATTGTGTGTGTGTGTGTGTGTCTGCCTCATAGTCCCTCCTCTCCTCCATTCTGGGGTGAGGTTGGGGGCTGAGGGCTGGCAGGGCGGCCAGCTCTGTAAGAGTCTCCATGCTGGGCACCCCATTCCCACAGCCTTCCATCCCTGGGCCAGCTCATGGTGGAAGTGAAGAATGTTCTAGTTGCCATTGCCTCTTCCCCAGGATGTGTCCTGGGTCTGCCTTGCTTTCTCCCTGGCTCCACAATGGATGCTGGGCCCCAGGCTCTGGGTGGGCACCTCTGCGCCTCAGAGGCCTCAGGGCATGAGGTGGTGGGAGAACTTCCATGAAGAGGTGAGGACTTGCAGGGGCTTTTCTGATGACCTCTCCTGACGTGGCAGAGAGAATTCCCATGGAGCAGTCTGGAGGCCCCTGGGTGTGGTCATCCACCGGACAGGGCAGGGGGCTTATCTCCTCTCCTGGGCAGGCCCTGGGACTAGTGGCAAGGGCCCCCGAAGAGGCTACAGCGGGGAGTAGGGGTCAGAGCCCTTGCCCCTCTCCCTGATCCCCAAGAGGACCACTTCCTGGAGGGCCTTCCCAGCCCCTAGTGTTCTCTCCTGGGGATGGGATGGGGAACCTTTGGGGATGGTGCCTCTGAGCCTCTGCTTAGCCCCGGATGGGCATGCCTGTCCACTTGTGAAGTTGGTGGCCACTGTCTTCATCTCCCCCCAACTTTTGTCATTCTAGCCCTCAACTTTCCCTTAAATGTCAACATCTTCACACCTGTCAGGGACAAAAACATCAAAAAGTTCTTCCCTCCTGAGGTCTTGCTCGCTTCTAGGGCTACCCATCCCAGGGGCATTTGCTGTGAAGAGAGATTCAGAGACGAAGAAGGCAATGCTTAACCCAAAGGAATGCTCTACCGGTGGTGGATTTTCAGGAGAGAGATGTATGGGATGTTGGGGGCAGGGCATGCAGCACATCCCATAAAATAGGTCCTGAGCTGGCAGAAGGGGAGGAGGGAGCAGGCCAGGAGTTGAGCTGCCTTCTTGGCTTCAGTGGTCCAGCACAGGCCGCTCCTCCCACCTCCCTCCTCTCTCCTCCCGCAACTTTCCTCCGTGTGGCTTCATTCTGTCAGAGGCTTGACATCTCCAGGAGGGAGCGCCTTGCACAGCGGCAGGCAGGCAGCTGAGGTAGGTGAGAGAGTTAGCGAGCAAGCCTGTGGATGAGCAGTGTGCTGGCCAGACGGGTCGGGGGCGGGCCCAGACCAGAAGGGCTCTGCAGCCCCCACCTGCTTCCTGAGGGGTCCCCTGCCCAGCTTCCAGGATGCTTAGCCACACCCGAACCTGTTCCACTGCAGGGGGACAGCTGGCAGGAAACGATGGCACCAGGACCATGGCCTTCTGAGCTTTATAATTACAGCCACAAGATACATCCTCTCCCCTAGACAAGTGTGGGGCCGGCAGCCCCTAATTACCACTGACCCCAAGACATCTGCCCACCCCTGCTGTCCTTCTCTGCTCAGTCTAGCACCCATTTTCCAATGGGCAGGCCCCACTGGCAGCCTGGGTAGCTGGGCCCGCCAGCTGCTGGATGGGAGTTTATCTCACTTCTGCAGAGTGAGGCCGCCTTTGCCACCTGGAGAAGGCGCGGGGGAGCTGGCATCTGGGCTCTGGCCCTGCTCACTGGGGCTGGCAGAGCTGCTGGCTGCCCAGGCCAACCTGAGGGAGGAGGCCGAGGGGCTTCCCCTGGTGGGCAGCGGGCCCGAGTGGAGGGCACCAGCTTTCTGGTCCTCCCCCCCCACCCCAGCCTGGTGCCGGCTCCTGGAAAGAGCAGGGAGGGCTTGTTTCCGTGTCCACTCTGCCCTAGTTAGCAGGGGAGTATCAAAAATTAATCTCAAGATCTCACTGCCTTTGGCCCTTGCCGGAGTGCAGGCTGCCTTTTCTCTGGCTCCTGGGAGCTCTGTTTCTTTCCTGGCTGTGCAGCTTCTGGCCTCCCTCTGTCCTCTGCTCTCCTTCTCTTCCACTGTCTCCCTGCTGCCTCTCAGCCCAACCCCAGGCATGTAGCTTTGCCTTCCCAGTGGGCTTCTGCTCCCCGCCAGTCCTGGAGTCAAGCTCTGGGGGCTTCTGCCTCAGTACCGCCCCCTCTTCTGCTCCCCCAACCTCTCTTTCCCTGCCTGAGCTTTGCTCCTGAAAGGGAGGCTTATAATGGGAACTCGCTTAGGAAAGATGAAGCCTGCCCTGCAGCCCTGCCCCCCAGCCCCCCAGCCCACAGGGCAGAGAGAGTCTCTAGCTGCCTGTCCAAGTTTCTCTTGGCTCCTTGGAAAAATGAGCACCACAAGGATAGTAAAAATCACCCTTAAATGAAAGCTGATGACTCCTGTCGAAATGTTTTATAATTAACCTCACCGTTTAGCAATCTCGTGGCAGCAGTGAGGCATAAATATATGTGTACACACGTATATTAAATAAATTGGGGAATGCGGTGCATAATGACATTATCTGGACCCCATTCAATTAAGGTAGATATTATCTGCAGTAATTGGGAAATGCCAGCCCATAATGACAGCCCGTGCCATTTCGGCTCGAGCCGTGCTGACGAGCAAGCTGTGGTGTCTCCCTAAGCCTCCCTCTTCTCCTGGAGAAAGCCCTGGCCACCCAGGGGCTGTGATGACGCCCTGGGGAGCTCAGCTGGCTGGCGGTCCCAGGCTGGGCCACCTGCATCGGGACCAGGAGGTTTGAGTCCTCCCTGGGTCCCCCACACTCAACCCTCCCAGCCATCCCTCTGTCCCTCAGGGGGACAGACTAGTCTCTGGACCCGTGTTCTGGCTGGGCTATGACTTCTAGTAACACTTCATCGCTACAGGGTTATTTTTAGATTTGAATATAGAAATAAAGATTGGGGACTTGACCTGGATTCTTAAGTTTTTGGCCGGTGATCGCTTCTCAGATGTCATGGCCCCTTCTTTGTGCCTGGCCTCAGGGTGCCTTAGGGTGGGAAGTCTGCCCCACAGCTGTGGTTCTGTTCGTGGCTGTGCAAGGCAGTAGGGTTTGGACATGGGCTCCCTAAGCCAGTGGGCCCGAGGTTTCCAGGGCAGTGCCGGGGTTTGGGGGGGGGCGGACAGGAAGAAGGAGGAGAGAGGAAGAAACAGCATTAGCAGGAAGCCCACAATGGCAACAGCTGCAAACAAAGGCACTTGCCCACTTGGATGTTGTGCTGGAAAACTGGATGGCCCTGGCAAGTGGGGGTGGGGTGAGTTGGGGCCAGAAGGAGAGGCCTGGGGGTCTGCATGGGGGCTGCTGGTCGGAGGAGACCTTGAGCAAGCGCGAGCTTGGTGGCTGGCCCCCTGGCTCTGGGAGAAGGCGAAGGTCAAGGCTGGGCATTTTCTGAGCTGAATTGGTGGGACCCAGTGCCAATGAGATGTGCTTGCTTTGCCATGCAACTGATGGGAGCTGCTGTGGCCTTAGCAGGTGGCTGCGTTTGAGCCTCTGGTTTCTCTAGTCCCGAGTCCCTGTCTGCTGTGCTCACAGTGGGCCCTCCTTTCTCCATCCACACCATGGCCCACAAGGTCCTGCTTGATCTTATGCTTGGAGCCGGCTCTGACCTCCTCTCCTGCCTCTCTCCCTTCCCACCGCCTTCCAGTCATGCCGACCTCCTTGCTGTTCCTTGAACAATGAATGCTAATCATATGCCCACCCCAGGGCCTTTGCACTTGCTGTTCTCTCTACCTGGGATGTTTTTCTCCCAGATACATGGCTCATGCCTTTACTGTTTTTAATCTCTGCTCTAATGCCACCTCCTCTGAGGAGCCTTCCCTGACTATCTTTTTCTGAAAAAGCTCCTCTGGATCATTCCCTTTCTCCTTACCTGCCTTGTGTGTCTTCATAGCCCCTTGATCCCCTGAAGTGCCACCCATCTGTGTGTAGATGTATTTATTGTCTCTCCTGCGCCACTCCCCACTGGGATGTTGGCTTCACAGGGCAGGTGTTTGTATCTGTTTTCACTTCCAGCGTTTCCCCAGTGCTCAGAACAGAGTCTGGCACACAGCAGGAGCTCAGCACGCATTTGGATGGCACATTGAATAACTGAATGGTCATGGATTATATTCCATGCCTACCCACACAAGAGGGTTGTAAGAATTCAGGGCAAGGTCTGAGTCCCACTCTGGGAACCTGGAATGCTGCTGCAGACCCCCACTCCCTGCCCTGGGCTCCACACTGGTGAGGGTGGTGCTGTGCTGGCTCTGGGCAGGGACCTGGCTTTGTCTGGTTGTTGATTGAGAATTTCCTGCATTCTGAGCCTTGGGCTGGGCACTGGGACACCAAGATGAGGGCGGTGCTGTGCACCCAGGCCCTTAACGTGCTCTGAGGCTTATCAGTGCCCAATAACAACACACAGAGAGAGGCTTTATGGCACTGACTGTGGAGGAAGGAGATAACAGGAACTAGAATCATCAGGGCAGGCTTCCTGGAAGAAGAAGTATCTCAGTTGCTCACTTGAAGGGTAAGCCTCACAGGGAGGAGGCTGGAGGGAATCCAAGGGTCAGGGAAGCATGGGCAATTGGTTTGTTTCCCCCTTCTTAGTTTTTGCTGGCATGAAGCTCAGGAATTATGTCCTCCATCCCTTCCTTCGTTCCTTCCACACGCATTTCTCAGTACCCACCGCATGCCCAGCACAGAGCCAGTCACTTCTGAACCAGGCCCTTGTTTTGGAACAGGGAGAGGATGGCTTTTGAAGTGAGGTCTGGGGTTTCTGAACTTGAGAGGTTCCTGATCAGGCCAGGGAGCTGGAACAGCTCAGGGAATTGAAGGGAAGGGGGCATGGGGTCCAGACCCCCACTCTTCCCTCCTTCTTGCTCTTAGAACATGGCTCGGGCTGGGTCAGTGCCTGGAGCAGGGCTACTCTTCTTATTATTCTAGAACTAGATTACCTGGGAGAGAAGGGTGGAAAGACCCCAGGGATCATTCAGTCACTTCCACAGACCCTAGTGGGGGATGCTAGGCACCGTGCAAGCTGGGATGCAGAGATATCAAGATGAGGATGACGTGATCCCCTCAGGTTGTGGTCCAGGTGGGGAGAGGGTTGTGCTGCTGGGGTTTGAGGGAGATAGTTGGTCACCCCCTTTCCTTAGGAACCCAAATCATACAGGTGGAGATTTGTTGCTGGTGCAGCTGGGGTGGAGCGGGCTTCTGATGACCTGCTTCCTGGGTTAGGCTTTGTCCATTTGAAAGGAGACTGTCTAGCAAACCTCACCTCTGCCCAGCCAGCGCAAGTCCCCAGGGGTCAGGAGAGAGGGGGGCCTTAGAGGTGACCTGCAGTCCCAAGGGGGTGGGGGTGGTGTAGGAAGGAGGGGAGAGGCCTCAGGTTCCCCCTCACTGTCCCCTTTGGCGAGTGGAGCTGCCAGCCCCTCCTTCCGTGGAAATGTGAGATGTGGGCGATGAGGCGTCTAAACAGCTCAGGGGGTTCAAACCCCACTTCGCTCCTCCATTCACAATCCCTGAGTTCTCCCAGCACCTGGGCTGGGCTGGGCCCAGCAGAGGTCAAGGTGAAGAGAGCTGAAGTAGGTGCTGGAGGGAACCGGGGCAGGCAGAGGGGGAGGGCCACCATAGGTCCGGAGGCCTGGCTCAGGAATGTGAGGAGGGTGTGCTGGGGACCCCGGGCAGGCGGGGAGTCCTTTCTGGACCTGGCTTTCCTCGTTCCACCCGCTCAGCCCTAGGGGCTGGCCTGCTGGCCTGCAGAGGAGCCAGGAGGCTGAGCGTCCCCTCAGAGGGCTGGAGGGGGGACTGAGCCGCTCTGGTTGTGGCCCCCACCCCTGGAAGCAAAGCGCAGGGTCCCTCCCTCCGACTCTGCCCTTTATTTCGTGTTTGGGAGAATTCTATTTCTTTAGCTTTTGGAGAAGAAAAAGCAGCTCAGTGAAAACTAAATTGGAGCTTATTAAGTCACAGTAGCTCTCTTCTGGTTGTTGTTTTGTGGTTTGTGGTTCTTTATGGCCCAGGCCCTGGCTGGAGAGGGAAGGGTTGAGGTCAGGCAGGAGAAAAGTCTGGAATCCTGCTTGTTAAGACTCAGAAGGGGTCACTGAGGTAGGTTTGGCCAGTTCCTCGGGCGTCTGAGAGACCCTCAGGTGGTGGGGCTGGCTGGGCTAAGGGAGGGGTGAACTGCAGCTCTCCCCCCAGCCTCCCCTCCCCCATCCCCTTTCACTGAGGAGAATGTTCTGGAAAATGCCATTGGCCAGTGAACTATTGCTCTACCCTGTGCTCCTCATCTCTCCCTGCCTAGTTCTGTCCTCCCTGGAGAAAGGATCTAGCAGGGACAGCAGAGGGAAGTGAGTAAGGGGCTGAGGAGGGAGGTGGGAAAGGGAGACTGAGGATGGGAGAGGAGACACATCTGGGGGTGGGTGGCCATCCTGGTGATTTCACTTCGGGCGGGACCCCCCCTAACGGTCCCAGTTTGAGCTTTCCTGGCTGTTTTGGACCTGGGGGAGTGGTCTGAGGGCTCCCAGCACCCCCCCAGCTCCCCCCTCCCCTGCAGGTGGAGGTGCCCCGTGGGGGAGGGAGGATCAGCCGGGCTCCCCGTGTCCGCCCCACCCCCAGCCTCTGCTCTCCTGGCTCCTTTCACTCCCAGGTATTTTTACTTTTCCCTGGTGCCTGTTATGCGGATCAAAGGAAGGAGGGGAGGCTGAAAGAGGCGGTGGTTTGCCCAGCTCTTGGAGAAGCTCGGAAAAGGCAGGCCTGGTAGGTCTGAGGGCTGGAGGGGACTCGCTGCAGGCAGGCTGGGACCCAGTCCAATGGAGAGAGGCCTTGCGGGTGTCTGAGCAGCTTGGGGCAGGGCCTGGGGCCTTGCGGTCGTGATTCTCATCTTGCAAGTATTTGCCTTTCTCCTCACTGAGGCCTCCTTCCCCTGTGTGGCCTCTGTCCTTCCCCTGCCTATGGTGTGTGTGTGTCTGTGTGCGGGCACTGATCAGCCCAGAGGTGCTCAGGCTTCAAGAGAAGCCAGTGTTGAGCCCTCACGAAGGATCTGGAAGGCTGAGCAGGGCCTGAATGTCAGAAGCTGCTGTGCATTGGTTTCCCAGCCTGAGTCTGCCCTGTTGCAGCCTCGGCTCACCACCTTGTCCTGATGCCAAAAATCCCTCCATTTGAAATTTAAGAAAACCAAGCCTGACTTCCTAGGATATGGGAACTGGGCAGGGCCTGAGAGACCCTCGGGGCCAGCGTGGCGGGGTGGTCAGGGCCTGGGCGGCCTGCCCAAGCTCCGTGTCCCTGGGCTGTGTCACTGTTTGACGTTTGGTGCCTCAGCTTCGTCATCTGTGTGATGGGGATAAAAATCCCACCTGGCTCATAGGGATGAGAGTGTCACCTGAGAAGCACCTGCGTGGTGGCTGGCACACAGCGCTATGTTGTCCTTTGCTGTTATTTCTCCATGGGGCACAATTGGCGTTTGGACAAGACAGTGTTTCATTGTGTGGGCTGTCTTGCCCATGCCATCTCTGACCCTGCCTGGATGCAAGCTAGTAGGTGACTCTCATCATTGTGACAACTGAAATGCTCCCACAGGGACGGGATGGCCTCCAGCCTGGGTCTTATTCCAGCCCATCCATTTTACAGATGTTGAAACTGAGGACTCCCTAGGGGACAGGTGTGGCCTCCAGCAGGGCAGCAGCAGGACTGCAGGGTGGTCTGAGGCTTCTGCTGTTTCTCTTCTGAATCCCCTAGAACTGGCCTCAGCGGCTAGTATCCCCCATCCCCTCACTCCCCACAGCCCCCTGGGGGAGAGATCTGATGACTCACTCACACAAAGGGGTGAGTGCTGATGAGGGGTGCCCACAGGCGTAGCTGCCCCTCTCTTGTATCTTAACAGCTCTTAAGCCTTCCCCAAAGCACTAACCACCAGCCCTAGGTCACTGAGTCCTGGCTTCCCGCCAGCTTCCCCAGGCTCTCTCAGTGTGATTGGGGCTGGCTTTGAGTCCCCACCCGCCTTGACTTGCTGTTTGACTTCGGCAGAGTTATGTGGTCCCTCTGGGCTACTGGTTCACCTGCAGAAGGGGGCTGAGGAGAAGTAAGAGCCATACTCTTGGCCTCTGAGGAGCTAAACGGAGGAGGGAGCATTCTGATGCGGGGGTAAGATGTGAGGTGAGGGTTTAGAAGAAACCCGGGAGCTGAGGCTGGATCCTGGGGTGTGCCCCCTCTCCTCCTCTACCCCTTGTGCAGACCTGGAGCAGTCAGGGCCTCTGTGGGGTGGGGGATGGGTGGCTCTGAGGCCACCACTTGGTCTTGATAGAGGGACCGTATTTCCAGGGACACCTCCCAACCCAAACACAAGCTCTTCTTCCAAATGGCTAGGGAAACTGAGGCACAGAACGGGTTAGTGGCTGCTGGTCTTCATTTGACAAACCCATGGGGAAGGGGGCCTTGGGGTCGCCCCCTAGCCAAGCCCTGGCTCAGCTTTCCGCCTTTCTCCCTGGGGCCTCCTGAGTCGAGGGGAGGGAGGTTGCTGGTTGTAAGGGAAGGCTGGGCCCACACAAGGACGTCCTGGGGAAATTAGCCCAAATTAGCCATGAGAGTGAGGAAGAGCTGGTACTCCCTCCTCCACCCTTGCAGATAAATATTTAATCACAGCAACAATAGTAACGGCCATCACCATAACGTGCGCTAGCTCAGGCCAGAACCCAAGCCCCACTCGCAGAGGGAGGAAGTGGGGAAGAGAGAAGGAGCAAAGAGAAACTAAGAGAGAAAGACCCTTAGAGAGGGGGAGGGGAGGGGAGGGAGGGAGGCCCAGCAAGAGAAAATGAGCCTCAGTTGGGTTGACCGCCCGCCCCCCCTCCCCCACCACCCGCCGGCCGGGGTGGGGCAGCTGGGGTGGAAATGGGAGGGTCCACCTAGCCCTCCCCAGTTCAGCAGGAGAACCCCAAACCCCTCCGGCAGCCTCAGCTTCTCCCTGGCAGCCTCAGCTTCTCCCTGGCCTTCAGGCTGAGCAGCTCTCAGCCAGACGACTTCTCCTGGGGCCTCGTTGGCTTTCCTTGTCTCTGAGTCCTCAAGGAGCCCAAGTGTGTCTGGTTCCAGAGCTGGGAGCCAGAAAGCTGGGTTCCAGGCAGCGTTCTGCTGCTTGCCCCCTGTGTGACTCGGGTCAGGTGCTCTCCTGCTCTGGGCCTTGGTTTCCTCATCTCTGAAATGAGCTGTGCCCTGTGGGACCGGTTTCTGCCTGCTCCTTCCTGTGGGTGAGTGTTGAGAGGGGCCTCTCTTCTGCCCAAGCCTCCCAGGCTGTTGCCTGAGGAGAGAGCTCTCTGAGGCCTCGGGTCTGATGGTAGTGGGCACAGGCCTTAAGAAATCTTCAGACACCACCCAATTTCTGCCTCAAATTCTCCCATTTGGACCAAAGTTGAGCAGCAGCTGGGAGGAAACCAAGCTCAGGAGATTGTGGAGTCTTTGGCTATAACCTCCAGCATCTCCTGCTCTCGGGCTCCTGACGAGAGATCCGAATTGCTAATGTCTTCTTTGGGCTTCTCTTTGATTCTCTCTCTCTCTCTCTCTCTCTTTAAGGTTGGTAAGAGGAGAGCATTGGAGCTGTTTTCCCCTTGATGCCAAGATCTGCCAAGCTAGGAGCACTCTCCTCCTTTCACAGTCATCCACCAAGAACAGGCCTGCAGGACGTGGGGACCAAGCCCAGAGCTTTGCTGCACCCCAGGCACGCCCTGCCATCTGGGAGCATGGCCTGTGCCCGTAACTGAGCGTTGCCTGCGGGGCGAGGAACACCAGCATGGTTCAGCCTGCTGGCTGCCATCAGCCACCCTGCTGCTGAAGCTGCACTGGAGAGACTTGTGGGGGCTGCTCTGCCCCTGCTCCCCCAGGCTGTGGGCCAGGGGCCCACACGGCTAGGAGGGAGGCCTGCCATTCATGGGTCTCTAGGGATTTCCGAGATGCCTGGGAAGAGGGGCTGGGGCTGGTGGTGGGCCCGGCTGCTCCTTTGCCTGCTCTTCAGCCTGTCTGGGCCCTGGGTGCCTTCCTCCCTGGGGAAGCCCAAAGGCCACCCGCAAATGAATTCCATCCGCATAGATGGTGACATCACCCTGGGAGGCCTGTTCCCGGTGCACGGCCGGGGCTCAGAGGGCAAGGCCTGCGGAGAGCTCAAGAAGGAAAAGGGCATCCACCGGCTGGAGGCCATGCTCTTTGCTCTAGATCGCATTAACAATGACCCGGACCTGCTGCCCAACATCACATTGGGCGCCCGCATACTGGACACCTGCTCCAGGGACACCCATGCCCTGGAGCAGTCGCTGACCTTTGTGCAGGCGCTCATTGAGAAGGATGGCACGGAGGTCCGCTGTGGCAGCGGCGGCCCGCCCATCATCACTAAACCCGAGCGCGTGGTGGGTGTCATCGGTGCTTCAGGGAGTTCGGTCTCCATCATGGTGGCCAACATCCTTCGTCTCTTCAAGGTTAGTGCCTGCCCAGCTCCTTTCTCTTCTTCTCCTCCTGAATCCGAGGGAGAGAGTGTGTTTCCCAGCTCCCCGAGCAATATCTGAGAATTTGGGGCTGACCTGTGGTGAGGAGGGACCCAGCTCCGTGGTGCTGACCGTGGTGCTGAAACAGCACCTGCTGCAGGCAGCTCCTTGATCGACTCTGCTCCTCTGCGGGGAATTCTGAACCGGGAGGGGAAAGGAAGTACTGGCGAACAACAGAAGGGAGGAGGAGATGGGCAGACAGAAATATAAAAAACCCAGACAGATGGACGAATAGAAATTTAGGTAGATAGAAAGGTAGACAGATTAAAAGATAAACATAGAATGAGAATGTGAATGTTGGAGACTGCCAGGGAGAAAAAGCAAGACTTTTGTTTTGACATTGTTTTTCAATAATTGCAATTGCCAAGAAAGATCTGTTTTTCTCCTGGGCAGCTGAGAAAGCCCCGCGTGGCCCTCCCGCTCCACCTCAGGATTATAGTTAGAAGATGTGTCCTGATTTTTTGGATGAGGTGTTGGCTACCGAGCCCGCAGTGAACGGAGATGAGAACGGGAAAAGGCCTGGAGGAGCGGGCAGTCCCTGTTTCTGGTGCCCTTGGCCCTGAGCTTAGCCTCCCTGGCTCATTACCTTCCTTCTGCCCCTCTTCCTTACACACCTTTCTCCCCTTCCTTCTGGAATCCCTCCCTGCCCCCTCCTTGCCGCCTCCCTTCCTCTCTTCCTGGGGCAGGAGCTGCTGATTTGCAATTCAATTGGAGCCAAGTGCTTCGCTAAGCTGCTAAAACTACTGAAAGCTACTGGGTAGAGAGAAAAACATTACAAGCATTTTACCAATAATTATGTGCCTGCTTCTCTCTGGGAGCCTCCTCGTTTGCTGTGCGTGCGTGCGTGTGTGTGTGTGTGTGTGTGTGTGTGTGAGAGAGAGAGAGACAGAGAGACAGAGAGAGAGAGAGGGAGAGAGAAGAGGGTGAGGGAGGAGGAAGGTGGCACAAATGGAGCCTCTGGGTCCCTTCTTCACTCTGGTGTTAGATTCTTGGCCTCTGGAATTGGCCCCTTGTCTCCTCAAAGGCTCCAGAGTTAGGGAGTGGACAGAGAGAGGCTGTTTGGCCTCATGCAGGATGGGAAGCGCTGAGGCTGGAGCCGTCTCTCCTGGACCCTTTCTGGAACACGTTTGCCCAATCCCATGATGCATCAGTACTTGGGCGGCATTTCTGGGGGCCGGGGTAGAAGTGGGGATGAACGGTGCGAATGTCTCTGTGTTGGCTGCGGGGGTAGGTGGGGAAGAAAGGTGGTTGAGTTGTCCTGTCACAGCAGGGGCGGGGTTGGAACTTTGCCATAGGCTGGTCTGGGCCACGTGTGCTGTGCAGTCCTTGCCTTGGGGTCTTCTTCCTGTGGTGTTGGTTTTGCTTGATGATCCAGATGAAAACATTATTTTAATTTAAAAACAGATGGATGCATTCTGAAGGATGCAAAATCACGCTGAAGCTGGAGACTTGAAGGAGACTTTGCCTTTGTAGCGGGCAATTTGAACAACCCCTGGGGAGCAGTGTTGCTTCTGGACATTCGTTGGTGGGATGGCTGGGGAATGGGAAACTGGTCCAGTCCCTCCACCTGCCCAATTCTGCAGTGAGGAGTAGAGACCCAGAGGGGAGGGGGAGCAAGGCTCTGTGGTCCCAGGGCCTAGTGATGGCTTCGGTGAGCTGTGTCACCAATTCAGCCTGCCTTCCCTGGGCTTGGGAGGTGAGGCGACCTGGGTCAGCAGCTGTCATCCTGTCTGAGTGGGGCACAGCCCCCCAGCCTTTGAGAAGACCAGACTACAGGTGGGGCTGCTTCAGTGTCCTTTTCTGAGCTTTGTATTAAACACCTTGGTGAGCCTGGGTGTTTTAAAAAGTGTTTTATAAAGATGATAAAACAACGTGATTGGGCCCTTGGGGCTATGACATTGGTAAGGGTCCTTCCCCGCCATTTCCCAGAGGGGAACCAGTACACACTTTATAGGGAGGTGGAAAAGATCAAAGGAGCTGAGAGGTGTCACCAGACACATGGCCAAGGCTCTAAGAAAGGTCGCTGTCAGCATGAGGCCTTGAAGCGGGTTCTTGGAAGCCCCACACAGCAGTGGGCTGTGACTGCTGTGCTGACCTCTCCCAGGATGGGGAAGGTCGCTGGTGGGGTGAGGGGGTCTGGGGCCAAAGGGCCTCACCAGCCGAGGGCTCTTGCGCTGCCCATCTGGTCACATGTGAATGTGGCGTGGCCTGGGTTTTGTCCTGCACGGAGAGCAAGATGGGACTGGGAGGTAGAGGCCTAGGGAGGGGAGAAGGAAGGGGGACGGAAGGGGCCTGTTGGGAAAGGAAAGGGGACAGGCAGTGGGGGAGATGGGGAGAGAGGCAGAAGGAGACAGCTGGCTATGGTACGAAGTCCCTGGGTCCCTTTTAAGAGCGTTAATGTTCCAGGCTGGCGACAAGAGGGCTCCTCAATAATTAAACTGGTAGAAATGAGAGGCTGGGCCAGAAACTGAAAAGCCACTTACAGAGACAAAAAGGTTGAACTTTGAGGAGGGAGGTCAGGTGCAGAGCTTCAGGCAGGGAAGGGTGAGGGAGGGGCATCTTGGGGGCCAGGGGAGCTGCGGTGTCAGGTGTCTGTTTCAAAGGGCATCGCTGCGCCCCAGCCCCGCTCCCTGCCAAGGCTATTAGTGGGGTCTGCTGGGAACTTCCCCCAGAGGCTGTGATTACAGCTCTCTTTCCTCCGTGAGGTGGATTTCCTGTGCAAAGCTTAGAGAGGAGCTCTGGGTTTGGGGGCACGTGGGGTAATTTCCTGCCTGGAGAATGCTGATGGGGTTCCGTCAAGGCCAGGGTATGAGCAAAACTCACACCTGCCAGAGCTGCGAGGGGCCAACTTCCTGTCGTACAGTTGTGGAAACTGAGCCCTGATCAAGGGACGGGCCAGGGCTGGGAGTCAGGTCCCAGCTCCCAGAACTGACTCTTTCCAGACTGCCTGCCCAAAGCAACTGGGTTGGAAGTGGGGCCTCAAGCCCAGGCCTTCATTAGGGATCAGAAGCCCTGACTTTGGGAAGTTGTGGGTCTGACAGCTTATATCCTTTACTCCCCTGTTCCCACCCACTCCTTCATCTTCATTCTGGCTCCATTCTCCTAGTTAAGGGAATATTGATGGAGGTAAAGAATACTTTTCAGAGGAGAGCCTAACGCAGAGGATGTGACCTCTACGATGCTATGTCGTGGGAACAGCCCAGGTTCTGAAGCCAGTCAGATCTGAGTCTGAATCGCTGTGCCACCAGAGTTACCTCACCATATCCACCATATCTACTCACCATACCAGTCACTTACACCATAGTATGAACGAGTCAGTAACATCTTTTCCTGAGAGCAGTTATTGTTGGGGGGAAAAAGAACATAGTAAGTGCCCTGGAAGGAAACAGTTTTCCAATCCTTGACCTGTAAGAGCTCAGAAGGATCCAGAAATCATTGCATTGAGTCCCTCATTAATTTTGCAGTGGAGAAAAAACAACAACAACAACAAAAACTGAGGCTTGAAGATGGGAATGTGGCCTAGCATGGTGGTTAAGAATCTGGAGACTGGAGCCAGACAGCTTTCGCCACCTTGGCAAATCGTTTAGCCTGTTTGTGCGTCGGTTTCCTCCTTTGTAAAAAGGGGATGACAGTGGTCTTCTAGGCCTGGTGTGGGAATTAAGGGTTAATGTCCAGAAAAGGCCTAGCCTGGTGCCTGGCACACAGTCAGCCTGCAGAAAATGTCATTGCACAGCTTGTAGCTGGGCCTTAAGTCAGCATGAGAGGCTCCGTTGATGTGGAAGAGGCTGGACCGGGTGGGCAGGGACAGATGGTGACCTTTGAGGCTGATCCTGGAGAGGACCGACCATCTGCTGGGCCTCAGGTGTCTCCCTGTGGTGTGGAGACTGAGTGGCCAACTTAACTTGCAGGTAATGAGGGTTTTCTGGCTGTCACCACAGTGGGGTTTGAGCACTAAGACTGGGGTGGAGTGGAGGGAGGGCAGGAAGGGGCAGGTGGGAGAGGGGATGCCAGCCAGCAGGTGGAGGGCAGGTGCCCAGCTTCCTAGGAGAGGCCGGGCCAGGGACACTGGTGGGCGACAGTGGCTCTCTGTGCCACGTCAGCCTGGCCTGTGAGGGCTTGTCCCTCGCTGGGCTGTGAGTGCTGGTAAGGGTTTGTGGTGCCTTTTAGAGGAAGCTGCCTGCCAGGTGCTTGGCTTGTCTGCCCCTCAGTGCCAGGCCCAGGGCTCCTGGGGAACCTCTGTGGCTCAGCTGATACCCCATGTTCTGTTGAGGATGTGGCTTTTCTGTCTTGAAAGTGTTTTCACTGCACAACCAGGAGGAACTTTCAAGAGGGTCCACCCACTCTCACACAGCCTGCCTGTCTTCCTTGAAGACAGCTCTGTGCTTGCAGCGCCCAGGCCAAGAAACTTGGTGGCATTTTTGACCTCTGCCTTTCTACCATCTGCAAATCCTGCAGGCTCTCCTTTAGGACACGTCCTCGTGCTGGAGTCTCCTCAACCCCCACCTTGTGCGCTCTCACCCGGATCCGGCAGAAACCTCTCTCCTCTCCCTGCTTCCAGACAGGCCTTTCCACAGCCCAACCTTTGCTCAGCTAACAGAGCGATCTTGCTAAAAGCCAAATCCAACCTGCTCCCCACCCTGCTTAAACTTGTTCTTGACTTTGCATTGCTCTTAGATTAAAACGCAAACTTCCAAAATGCTTGCCAGTCTGACAGGCCCTGTGCTACCTGGTGCTCTGACCACATCGTTTTGCCTCTCCTAGGTGCACTCCATACCAGTCCTACTGTTTTCTTTATGTTCCTTGAAGACACTGTGCTGTTTGCCCACCACAGGGCCTTTGTACCTGCTGTCCCATCTCTATTGGAATGTTCTCCTCCTACTCCTTGAGGCTGCATCCTTCTCATTCAACCTAAAGTTTAAGTGGACTCTCTTCAG